CGTTCTCTTTTTCTAAATTAAAAAAACGATGCGTTTAAACGCTCAGTTTTTTATACTTTTGCCGTTTTCACGCTTGAAAATCGACTATTTTGCACAAAAAACGTTGTTTCTTGCGTTTTTTTAAAGAGCGTGAATGGATCATAGTCGCGGTTCCCGATTGTGCGTTTAAACGCGTTTTTTGAAATTTTTGTCTGCTTTGGTACGGACATAGCGGGCGCTAAAAGGGGTCACTATGCGATCGCAATAGCGGCGATATCACGCTGCTATTTGACCGCTATCGATGACATGGATATATTATGAACGCGTATATTTAGACGTGCCCCAGGACGGATATTCATTTCTTCCTCTTTGTTCGCTATAGTTTAAACGAATATTGTTGACCAATGAACAGAATATAAATAGTCTTGCTACATTGTGCCATATTTTATTGACACATTTAATATGAGTGAACAGCGATCATTGCTTGAAAATTTATCTGTCGAACTTATTTACCTTGTGTTCGAATATTTGGCTCCTCATGATATACTCTATGTTTTCAGTAATCTTAATAAACAATTCACAGCGATGCTTGTTCAACAACCACTTTATTTGCCCAATAACCGACATATGCATTTTAATATCTACCTCGATTATATAAATTCAATCATACCTAAACATGTCTCACAAATCGTCTATCTTCATCTATCTGAACGATATGCTCCGCATGCAATCAGACAGTTTATTTCTGAAGTACCACTTAAAACACTTAATTGGCCCGCACTGAAATCAGTTACCGTAGAAGATGTACCATTTTATATCTTATCATCATTATTGAATCACTCTTCATTTTTGTCCAATATTTACTCACTCTCATACGATATAGGTCATGGGCAATACTATTCTTTTTATCACGATTATTTGGCCGATTTCAATGTTGTCATTTCATTGCTCAATGGTTTGCCTGAATTACGCTCACTTTACTTATGTATGAATAATTCTCGTCTAAAAGATAACTATACTGCCGAATTCAGTCGATGTTCTTCTCCATTAATTATTCATCAAAATTTGCATACACTCACTATTATTGAATGTTCACTAGAATTGCTTGATAAGCTTCTCAACGAAGATCATTTACCACAATTGCATCGATTACGTGCTGCTCTATCCTGGTAAGTGGCAAATATTCAAATAAGTCTACAGAATAAATGTAATTTTTCATTGTTTTCAGTACATATAATGATTCACTGGTCAAATCATATTGTTCAACGCCATTGAAACAATCCTCAGTACTTAAATTACGATATGTTAGTATTATAAGGTTTATTGATGTCGCTTGGCTCTTATCTTATTTTGAAGATCTTCAGCGTCATAGTCAACTGGAATGGTTCAATATATCTGGATATGTAAGACTGACTAAAAATAGTCATTTTCCTCATGTAACCGAATTACGACAGTGGTTACTATTGAATAAATCAAAAGAATTTAAATTTCAAATGAAGTTGTCAACCAATTCCATATATACTGATAAAACAATTCAAAAGAGTGTGCTTTCTGAATATGGACAAGCAATTGGTGATGATTCCTTAGTAAAACATGGCAAGATAAACATTAATTATCGGCCAGTGTCATTCTCTGATTCAAATAATGAAGAAGACAACAACATTCTTCGTAGCAACATGATCGTTAAAGGGCAGCAATCAATCAACGAAAATATGAAAGAAGTTAGATAAAAATAAAAATATTTCAACTTGTAAAAAAAAAAAGAATACTCTTAGATGCTCATCGTTTTAGATAATGTAAAAGGCAATCTACCTAAACGTAGTCAAGCAATACACCAGTGGCCTTATCTACGTAAAATATCCATTAAAGATGATAACAACAATGAGAAGTAAGTCATTAGAATGATATACAATAAGAATTTGTTAAAATCTGTTTTCTATTTAAAGTAGTGGCATAACCGGTAAAGGTGTTCTACATCTACTTCATATTGCTCAACGTTCACCACAGCTTCGTGAACTTTATATAATTGGAAACTCTCATTTTGGTCGCATTCTTTCATTGAATGTTGAACTTGGAATTTTACTCACTTCTCAATTGGAAGTACTCTATTTTACTGAAAAAAATTTTAACTGTTCACTTGCTGATCTTGTTCAAATAATTAATTCTCTCTTTAGTCATTCATCGTCATCACCCATGTTGAAACAATTAAGATTAGATTTTGGTGAACATCCAAGCTCATGGTTTCCTATTGATCATTTCGTCGAAGAAATTGAAAAGATCTTGAATCGTTTTCCAGCGCTTATTCATTTAACATTACATTGTACTCATGGTGAACTATTTTTCAATAAACTGTATAATTTATCGGAATTAGCTCAAGAATCGTATATCAGATTGTTACTTTCCCGATCGAATATGAATGGTCGTTTAAGCTATAGAAATAAATCAAACTCGTTTGATATTTGGTTGTAAATAATTTTGTTAAATATAGATGAAATATAGAATGATGCACTCGAGTTTTTTTTATCGTTCGCATACATAACTGATGAACAATTTATGTAAGTCATGAATAAGTTAATTCATTTTTTGATTCGAGAATTTGGTACAAGTGCAGAACAAGAACACTATCTATTTAATACTTTACGAACGGATGTTGCCATTTGGTAACATTGAGCTAATATTTTCCTCTAATTTCATTTGAAGTGAAGTGTATAATTGTTTTGACAATTTGATAATTATCTTTGCATATATCAGCATACATTCATGAATTCTCAAGAAAAAGAAAGCTGTTCATTGAGAAGAGCGATGTCTCCCTTTGTAATGAAGTATAACAGAATTAAAATCGAAATAATTAATTTTTCCTGTGCCTAGACATTCTGTCTAGAAGACAATTGGTGGTTAATTTTCCTGCCTAGATCTATTGTCTTTTATCTTACTAAGATAGATTACTCAGTAAATTCGAATCATAAAAAATAGTGATGTTGCCAAATGGCAACAGGCGACCGTAAAGGAACAAAAATCTTGGAAAGGTCAATTTTTTTCTTCTATGCAAGACCGAAATTTAATGTTTTTCTTTTAAATTCATACCTTCATACTAAAGCAGAGTCTGTCTTTCTGTCCACCCTTTGCACGCCAAAAATGGGATATTTCTAGAATATTCCAAAAGTTTTCTGAACGGTACAAAAGAACCGGTGTCGATAAGGCCACCTTTCGTCCCAAAAGAATATTTTCACGAAATAATTATATGAGTAGAACAAGGTTGATATGAACTACAAAACTAGCATAATCATGTTCCTTAGAATCACTTTCCGCTTTTTGACCCTTGAACCCCTATGGGGTTTCAAAAAAAATTTTTTTTTTAAATTTATTTCTTCAAAGTAACTAGAACTATCAAGTCAAATACGTTGATTACGAATATCGTTATGTCAGAATTCAAAAAAGTAGTTCTGGAAAATTAGACCATTTTTTTCTATACATGAATTTTGGGTCCCAACCGAGATTTTGATCCTTCTAGGACATAGATTGGTCTCTAGAAAGTCTAAAAAAGGCGACTTTTAGGTACAACTTTTTAAACTTTATCTGGATCTGAACTAATAAAGATCATCCGAAATGTTCAACTGTTCACAACAGCAAAATAGGGCCAGAATGCGAATAGGATAGCCATGCACTGTAAAAAAAAAAAGGAACTGTACGGAACCTAAAAAAAGGGCTCGGTAGATGACAAAAAGCTTGCAAATGTGTTCAAAGTTTCAAAAAAAGAATAAAAAAATACACAGAACCTTTAAAGGATCTTACAGTGTACCCAAATGAAGATCCTTTTTTCTTTGAAACCTTTTTAAGATCTGTAGACCAAAAAAGA